TGCTAGGTCCTGAGATTCAGAGATAACAACCAGATAAACTGAGTATCAGTGGTTAAGACTGCCTAGGTTTGAATCTAAGTTCCCCAACTTATTAGCTGTGTGACCTTGAACTAGTTCCTTGTCCACTCATCACGGTTTCCTTATCAGTACTTAACAGCTCTTACCCCACAGTCTTGTGAGGATTAAATGAGATGATGCATATAATGCAACCTAGCACTGGGCATGGAATATGTAAACAATAAATGTTAGTTCTTATGGTTACTATATCTGTCTTTCAAGAACTTCCAGTCTATCAGCAGAGACAAATGAGAAGCTCAACACCCTAAGTTCTCATAGACATACACAAAGAGTTTATGGAAGTCCAAAGTTACTGCCCCTACTGAAAACATTAAAAGACCACAACAGGGCGCCTGCATGGCTCAGTCGTTAAGCGTCTGCCTTTGGCTCAGGTCATGATCCCAGGGTCCTGGAATCGAGTCCCACACTGGGCTCCCTGCTCAGCGGGAAGCCTGCTTCTCCCTCTCCCACTCCCCCTGCTTGTGTTCCTGCTCTCGCTGTCTCTCTCTCTGTCAAATAAATAAATAAAATCTTTAAATAAATAAAAAAATAAATAAAAGACCACAACAACCATTACTATAGACCCATGCTAATTTTATTCATAGCATGCTTTGACCATGACTAGAGAGACTTCCTATATCAAATACACAATCATAAACATAGTTTACATCATAGTGAAAATAAAAAAGACCTACATTTCTGTCATGCCTACAATAGATCGCACAAGTCTAGCGTTTTTTTTTTTTAAAGATTTTATCTATTTGACAGAGAGACACACAGTGAGAGAGGAAACACAAGCAGGGGGAGTGGGAGAGGGAGAAGCAGGCTTCCCACTGAGCAGGGAGCCCAACATGGGGCTCAATCCCAGGACCCTGGGTTCATGACCTGAGCTGAAGGCAGACATTTAACAACTGAGCCACCCAGGTGCCCCACAAGTCTAGCATTTAAATTGATGACCAAATAACACCCCCCAAGATATTCTATTGTTTTAGCTAATATTGTAAAGAAAAAAAACAAACCACACTGAAAAATTCATCAGAAAAAAAAAGAGTTGGAAATGAGCTCTAATCTTGTATTAAGTGAATACATGTTTAGTGACTTAAATTGCAAAACACCCAAATCTAAAACTTCCATGAAACTGGTAACTCCTAAAATGTGCCTAACACCATGTGGAAAGTTGGAGAAAGGATGATGTGCAAAAGCTGACATCCTTGCTCTTACAGGATTTACAGTCTAGAGAGCAGAAAGATATTATTTTATAAAATTACATACATTAGGGGCACTTGGGTGGCTCAGCTAACGGTTAAGTGTCTGCCTTCAGCTCAGGTCACAATCCCAGTGTCCTGGGATTAAGCCCCACGTCGGTCTCCCTGCTCAGCGAGGAGTCCGCTTCACCCTCTCCCTCTGCCCCTCCACCTGCTCGTGTGCTCGCTCTCTCAAATAAATAAAATCTTAAAAAAATAAAAAAATAAATAAAAATTTAAAAATTACATACATTAAACCAGGGATATTTGGGTGGGAGAGAGGGTGACAAATATCCTTCTGACCTCTACTCTATTTGGGTAAAAGTGAACATTACATAAATATTACCAAAAATAAAATTAGTAAAACTACGGTTTCTAAATGCCTTGGCAAACTGATCCAAATAGTCAAAAAACACAACTAATTAAAAGTGGGAGTCATGGGGCGCCTGGGTGGCTCAGCTGGTTAAACAGCCAACTTTCGGCTCAGGTCATGATTTCAGGGTCGTGGGATGGAGTCCCATGTTGGGCTCTGCCCTCAGTGTGGAGTCTGCTTGTCCCTCTCCCTCGGCCCCCTGCCAGAGCATGTGCACACACGTGCTCTCTCTCAAATAAATAAAATTTTTTGAAAAAGTGGCAGTCATGAGGAGCACCAGGCTAGCTCAGTCAGTAGAGCATGGGACTCTTAATCTTGGGGTTGTGAATTTGAGCCCCACACTGGGTACAGAGATTACTGAAAAAAAAAAAAAAAAAAAAAAAAAGGAATCTTTAACAAAAAAAAAGTGGGAGTCATGATTTGCCTTTAGCCTTATTACATACTAATGAGATGAAGATATGCCAGTTTATTTTTTTTTAAGATTTTATTTATTATTTGAGAGAAGAGAGAATGAGAGACAGCATGAGAGGGGGGGAGGGTCAGAGGGAGAAGCAGACTCCCCACTGATGCAGAACTCGATCCCAGGACTCCAGGATCATGACCCGAGCCAAAGGCCGTCGCCCAACGAACTGAGCCACCCAGGCACCCAAGATATGCCAGTTTAAATAGTCTTGCAGTTTCACTGTCAACTTTTGCAAAGAAATATGTGTACACAAATCTATACAGACTTAGAAAAACCTGTCTAGACAACCTTTAGATTGTAATGCAATATAACAATCTACCACAGAAAAATATGTCTTGGTGTGTCAGAAATTACATAATATAATGACACCATAAAATACCATAGGAAGTTACAGAAAAATGGAAAAGGTAACTATTCAGTCTTTTGATTACCTAAAAAATATCTGAATATTCAACTGAACTGTAATATGTAATTTAAGAACGCTACATTGGAAGGTACAGGCTTCCAGTTATGGAATGAGTAAGTCATGCAAATGAAAGGTACAGCCTAGGAAATATAGTCAATGGTGTTGTAATAGGGTTGTACGGTGACAGATGGTAGCTACACTTGCAGTAAGCACAGGACGTAGAGAAGTCCAATCAGTACTGCTGAATACCCGAAATTAATTTAACATTATGTGTCAACTACAATTTTAAAAAGCTACATAAACAAGTGCCTGCGTGTCTCAGTCAGTTAAGCATCTACTCTTGATTTCAGCTCCAGTCATGATCTCAGGGTTCTGAGATGGAGCCCCTCACAGGACTCTGTGTTCACCGGGAAGTCTGCTGGAGATTCTCTCTACTCCTCTTCCTCTGCCCTTCCCCTGGCTCACACTCAGGTGCGCTTGCGCAACCTCACTCACTCACTCTCTCCCTCCCTCCCCCCCAAAAATAAATAAATATTTTAAAAATAATAATAATAAAAAGCTACATTAAATCTACAGTATGAGTACTTAAGGAGCAATAACTGCCCTGAAAGAGTCAACCAATAAAATCAGATTTCAGCACTGAACTTTTTTCACCTTCTAGAAAAATACCCTCTCCAATTTTCCACTGCATCCCTACTGTTTTTATTATTAGTGGGATGAACAACAAAGAAACCCAGTACAGGCCATCAGCCATTTTACTGAGACTAATTCTATAAAAGCTTTAGAAATGGGGATTATAAAGACTTTCAAAATTGTATCTTCAAAAGGCTATTTGTAGTCTTAGGATTTCCTTTTCTAAGTGAATCCTCAGTTGGCTCTGGGTATGTATACAGGGACTGTTCTCTTTTACATCCCCAAGGACACAACTTAGAAAGTGTGCAACAAATGTCTGTTGGACAGGATCAAATCAACAGAGTGACAAAATTTTTTATACTACATAGCAGTGGCTAACTTCCTTTAGTATTTCAAAATTATCACAACTACACTTATATATAAACTTACAAGCATATTTGCAGGATTTGCCATTTAAAGCTCATGTAAAATTGCAATTTATAGATTATAAGAAAAAGCCATAGCCATATGACTTTTTTTTCCCCCCTAAGGATACAGAAGTTTATTGAATACACTGCAAGAGAGCAGCAGGCAGGACAGGAGAGGAGAGGCTGTCTGCAACCATATGACATCTTAAGGGTTTTTTTCTGCCTTAAAGTGAAAGTCTTAAAATCATTTCATCCTCAGTGTAAATGTTACTAAATAGCCTAGAATCAAATAAAGTTTACATAATATGTTACCACAAATATGAGAAAGAACAATTCATTCGACTTAACACCATTACTGTGCTGACACTTATTCTTGCTTCTGCCTACATACCTGCCTACTCACAGACATTTTTAAGTCTTTTAGAGCCTTCTTTGTAAAGAAAACACTAGTCTTCTCTAAAAACAATGTAAATTAGGTATTTTAGTCACTGGCTAGTTTCCCGAACTTCACAAAAACCTTAGATTACAATGGGCAATTTAAGTATATTAGTTTTACTCTACTAGTTTTGTTTCGATGAGCCAAAGATTTATTGGTAAATCAGTAATCTGGCAAGATATTGGGAAAAATCTTTCTTTCTCTAATATAACAATTATAGTAAGTTTAGCAAATCGCAACGTAGGACAATTTAAAGAATCCTAGAAGAGGCATAAAACTCTCACACCAAGTGAGAAAGTGTAGTGCCACATGTATACACTCCACGGAGGTTCAGAGCTGTATCCAACCACTTTTCCAAGTGAGTAAAGACCTCTGGAAATCAAACAGGAGATCGTCCCCTATTATTTGGTTCTTCAAAGCTGAAAAACTGAACAGGTGGCCTAAGTACAATTCGCATAAGGTTCTGGGAGACACGGGCAGGCCTTAAAGGGGACTGCCAAAAGCACAATCATTCATTTATCTCCACAAATTCAGACTGGGTACGCCCCCACCCCACCCCACCTCAGGCCCTGTGGAACTGAAATCAATCAGTCCCTGAGCTCTGCTCTCTGGAAGACAGGGTGAAGTGGCAAGGAGGGGGAAAGCACATGAACAGGCACTATGAGTCTTGCATGCGAGTACTGAGGTATGCACCGAATCTGTATCTTTCACCCATGTATACCCAGCGTGTCATATTCAGCAAGCGCTCATTAATTGTTCACTGAACCCATGAATAAATAAATATGAGACACTTAAGACGAACTCGGGGTCGCGGCTGCATATTCGCGGCGGTCTCCTTGGCCCAGGCGCCCACCACCACCCGCTCATTTGCCCGGCCGGGAGTTCACCCTCTCCTGTCGCCAGAGGCAACGGCAATAACCAAAGGTCAGCTCGAGCCCGGGCCCAGGCCACGCCAGCCGCCCGCCCCCGGGCGGTACTTACCGTTGGTGTAGAGAGACCCCGAAGCCGAGGAGGCCCTGTTCTGGGCCTGCAGGCCGGTTGGGGCGCCGCCGGAGGCCGGTATCCCCGGCTGGGACATGACGACGGTGCGCGTCGGGGTTGGAAGGGATGGTCGGGGTCCGCTAGGGCGCCAAACGAAGAGCTGAGAAACGACTGCTAGAAGCGGAGGGAAGGAACCACCGACTCAGGATTGAGGCGAGGAGGAGAGAGGGCGGCGCATCATGCCCTAGGCATGGCGCGGCATTCTTCCCAGCCCGCGAGCGGCCACGGCTTGGCCTGGGAGCTGAGGCTTGGGAGTCGGACCCGTGGGGCCGAGAACGCCGGGCTGGAAGGCGGCAGCCTAGCGAGAGAGGAGAGAGGCCCCGGCCGGAAGTGCCTGTCAGCCGCTAGCCGCGCAGGCGCAATCGGGACACGTGGCACTTCCGGCTCCGGGCTCGCCGCCGCTACCGCGGCCGCGACGCTCTCTTCTCTCGGGGTGGCCCAGAGGCCACCTGACAGCTCCGGGTGTCCCAGCCCGAAGGACCGTGCTCGATCTCGTCTGCCACGTCACTGAGTCTTACCGTCGGCCGGAAGTGGCGTGTGTCACTGCTACGGAAATCCCCGTTGTAGTGAACGTCATCTCGCGGGCAGGTCCAGAATCTGAGGGCAGGCCGGGCTTCAGTAGCCACTTTCGAGGGGTGGGACTGACAGTTCCTCTCCTGGCGTTTGTGAAGATTACCTGAGACAACAGACGTCATCGTCCTCTCTTGAGACTCTACCTCTGGTAGCCGAACTCATGAATATTCATCGCAGTATTTCATTTCACATTTCATCATATTCCAGGTGTAAATTGTAGGGTTGTTTTTTTTTTTAAGGGGTTATTACGTACGTGTGTTAAAAGTGTAATCAAATCGAGGAGGAAGCCTTTGTTTTTTGACTGGACGACTCAGAACTAATTTTAATTTTGAAACTCGCTGATTCATAGCATAGTCACGCGAAAGTTCATTAACATCACATTGAACCCCAGCAGGTTTAAATGGCAATTTTAGTTCCTCTTCTAAGAGTTTAAGGTAAAACATTCAAACTTCCTTTCTGGGCAAGTAGACTTTTTTTTTTGTCCCAAGTAGACTTTTTTTTACTTTTTTTTTTTAAAGATTTTATTTATTTATTTGTGAGAGAGAGAGAATGAGAGATAGAAAGCACGAGAGGGAAGAGGGTCAGAGGGAGAAGCAGACTCCCTGCTGAGCCGGAAGCCCGATGTGGGACTCCATCCGGGGACTCCAGGATCATGACCTGAGCCGAAGGCAGTCGCTTAACCCACTGAGCCACCCAGGCGCCCCCAAGTAGACTTTTTTTTACTTTTGAGGCCAAGGGGAGGTAGAAACCGGAGTGATAAGATAATACAGTTAATTGATGGTCTCCTTAACCATTTTAGCTATCTTCATTCTACTTGGGTTTTTACCGCCCTGAGCTGATGACAAAGCTCTTCTTTAAACTACAGATTTGTTCTGTTGATTAAAACGTCATGCCAAGGGTGCCTGGGTTGCTCAGTTGGTTAAGTGTCGGCCTTTGGCTCAAGTCATGATCCCAAGGTCCTAGGATTGAGCCCCATGTCGGACTCCCTGCTCAAGGGGGAGTCGGCTTCTCCCTCTCCCTCTGCCTCTCCTCCCTATTTGTGTTCTCTCTCTCTCTCTCAAGTAAACAAATCTTTTTTAAAAAAAAATGTCATGGGAAAGGTTTTGCAACTTTTGAAGCGTGAAGCGTGAAGTAGATCTTACTTAATTCATTTAATATCAAATACTTGCTATGAAATGTTGTATTTATACTGTATAATGTTATATCACATAATCATTAGAGCAAGAGTTAAACCACTGTGTCAGACCTGAAAAGCAAACAGTAAGAATTCAGATAACTAAGGGTTAAATTTTATCCTAACCCTGTTTTTATCATTTGCCTCAGAACCTTACTAAAAATGTATTTGCCCTTTTGGTGTTAAACAATTAAACTCCTTTGCACAAGATATAAGTACGAAGGTTTCTTTAGGATGAAGATGATACTTTTTTTTTTAATTTTATTTATTTATTTGACAGAGAGAGACACAGTGAGAGAGGGAACACAAGCAGGGGGAGTGGGAGAGGGAGAAGCAGGCTTCTCCCGGAGCAGGGAGCCTGATGAGGGGCTCGATGCCGGGCTCGATCCTGGGTTCGATCCCAGGACCCTGAGATCGTGACCCGAGCCGAAGGCAATCGCTCAACCAACTGAGCCACCCAGGCACCCCTTTCTTTTTCTTTTTAATGCAACTCCTTAATCGGTTTATTGACCTTGGCACAGGAGTTGATTTGGTTAAATCAAGCTTTCTTTGGACTTTGTTCTGTTTAAGCAATATCTGTGTGTTCAGAGGGAAAAAAAAACTAATAGGATTAGCCATTTTAAAATATTAATCATGGGGTGCCTGGGTGGCTCAGATGGTTAAGCATCTGCCTTCGGCTCAGACCATGATCCTAGGGTCCTGGGATCGAGTCCCGCATCGGGCTCCCTGCTCAGCGGGGAGCCTGCTTCTCCCTCTGCCTCTCTCTCTCTGTCTCTTATGAATAAATAAATAAAATCTTTTAAAAAAAAAACCATAAATCATGGTTGGTTAAATAAGGTTAAATAGGGGCGCCTGGGTGGCTCAGATGGTTAAGCGTCTGCCTTCGGCTCAGGTCATGATCCTGATCCCGTGGTCCTGGCTGGGATCGAGCCCTGTGTCCAGCTCCCTGCTCTTCAGAAAGCCTACTTCTCCCTCTTTTGCTCCCCCTGCTTGTGTTCTCTCTCTGGCTGTCTCTCTCTCTGTCAAATAAATAAAATCTTTAAAAAGAAAACAAAAACTTTCTTTAAAAAAATAAATAAGGTTAAATAAACATAATATGCTAGTAAGTAAATATTGCTTTTTATAAAATTTGTCCCCCTCCCCACTCCCCCCATGCCGGGTGTTGTTATTATTCCCCAAAAAACTATGGTTAAGTCTTTTCAGGTGTTTTTTACATTTTTAACATAGTTTTAAAATATTGAGGAGAAAAGCAGCATTTGTCATCTGCCCACCCTCAGAGACAATAGGAAATTAAGTTTAAGGAATTGAGGTGAGACAGCATAGTTAAAAAGGTAATTTTCTTTTTAAGTGTCATCCACACATTGTCAAATCCTTCTCTGACTTCTTAAAGTGTGACTACCTATCAAGGAAAAATTATTAGTGCTATTACCAGTTGTTAAGGGTTGATCTTTTTTAGTTAACTACCTGTATCTATCCTACAGTACCATACATTTTTCTAAACTAATGTCAATAATATATTCTACCTTTTTATTCTTGTTTTCCAGAACAACAGGACCCTTCTGCCACAGATAGACCCTTCATATGTGTATGTATCAGATTTTCTGTACATTAGTTTCAAAGCCTTCAACCCTACTTAAGATGATAAACAAACAAAAAAACAAGTGACACTCCAGAGTCTCAGAAAGGAGACAGCACTATTCAAAGAATGGTCCATTAAAGTTGATTATTTATTTTAGACCCAAAGAGGTAGACAGGCATTCCTAATAATATTTGCTGACTTGCAGAAGTAGACTCAGGCTCACACACTAGGGCCCCTTTGCCTGCCTGCTCATCACTGTTGAATTGTCAGCTGATAAACTGGAACAATTCTGTTTACTTTTTAGAATAGGGGGAACTATTTTAGGTCCTTTAATCATTTAAAAATGTGTTCTAGGACGCCTGGGTGGCTCAGTTGGTTAAGCGACTGCCTTCAGCTCAGGTCATGATCCTGGAGTCCCCGGATCGAGTCCCGCATCGGGCTCCCTGCTCAGCAAGGAGTCTGCTTCTCCCTGTGACCTTCTTCCCTCTCGTGCTTTCTATCTCTCATTCTCTCTCTCTCTCAAATAAATAAATAAAATCTTTAAAAAAATAAATAAAAATAAATAAATAAATAAAAATGTGTTCTAGGGGCGCCTGGGTGGCTCAGTCATTAGGTGTCTGCCTTCGGCTCAGGTCATGATCCCAGGGTCCTGGGATCGAGCCCCACATCGGGCCTGCTCGGCGGGAAGCCTGCTTCTCCCTCTCCCACTCTCCCTGCTTGTGTTCCCTCTCTCGCTGTGTCTCTTTGTCAAATAAATAAATAAAATCTTTAAAAAAAATAAAAGAATAAAAATAAACAAAAATGTGTTCTATTTCAAACAAACAAACAAAAAAATGGTTTCAATTACAAACAACAGGTTTGTTCTGAAACTCCTGTGACTCCATTTTAAGAACAGTTCCTTTGGCCTCATTTGCCTCTGGCAGGACATCTGTTTGTATCTGAAGTCAGTAGCTCCAAAGCTACATCACAAGAACACTCATCTCACATCAAGCCAGCAAATCCCATGTTTTCTCTGAAAACTTTTCATCTTTATGTAGTTCTTGCCATTCTCACCGCCCACTGGTTAATTTTCATCATCTTGCAGGGGAATTCCTGGGATAACCTTTCTGGTTTGCCTCTCCCCAATCATCCTACATGTTGAACTGAGCTCCTAAATACTTATTCTGTCTTTATTTTTCTTTACCCCAACACCTGTAATTGCTCCCCTTGCCTGTTCCATCAAGTTTCTCTGCATGGCTTTTTTCATCTTGCACTGAGTAAAATCCAAAGTCCTACCCAACCTTTGAAGTCCCACGTGACCTAGCCCTGCTACCTCTCTTCATCTTCTACACTCTCTCACTCACTCCACTGCACACACACTTGCTATTTCTCTACCTACCCAACCACAAGCCTGCCGTTTATGCTTGCTTACTTCTTATCCCTCAGTGCTCTTCCGCAAGATACACAGGTGGCTCAATCTCTCACCCCTTCAGCCTTTATTCAGGTTAACTTATTGTTTACCCCTTCTCTGAACACCCCATACAATAGCATACCCTCCCTGCTCACTCTAACCCTCTTATCTTGCTTATTACTTTCTTTCATAGCACTTCTCATCATTGTTAAATGCTTAGGGCTATGTTTACCTTTCTTCAGTGGGATAAAATTCTATACATATCCTGCCCATTCTAAGGTATTTTTTTTTATTTCATATGTGTCTCATTGTTTAGACTGTCAGAGAGTAGAGACCAATGTATTCTCAGCACTTGACTTGGGGTCACACCTTTAACAGGTGTTCATTAAATGTTTTTGAATGAATG